TGATCCTCCTCTGCTGTGTTCTCTTTCTCTCTCTCTCAAAATAAATAAACTTTGAAAAAAATTTAAAAATAAAGCTGCTGGACTTCTTCATGGTGTGTGACAGGCAAAGGGGGAAAAAACGAAAGGTGGAAATCTGGCTTAACTGGCAGGCTTCTTGCTTATGGAATGAAATGGACCACAGCCTCTTTTTTTCAGTCATGAGCATCACATCAGTCTCAAGCTAAGCATAAACACGGCTGTCTTTTCCCTGAACTCAAAGGGACTTGAGTTTGGAAAGACACAGGCCTCCCTTGCTAGAAAGTGTGGCGGGGGGGGGCGGTGGAGGGATGTCATACTGGAAAACACAATTGGGGAAGAGGGGAGAAACTGATTATTTCATATACAAAAGCCCAGCAAAGTTTTATGCATCAGGGCAAAATCTTTTACAAACATTAAAATAAGGACTACAAAACTTGGATGCATGGGGAATTAATGATAGTTGCGTAAAGAAAGCAACCATGCCATTATAACAATAATGTAAAATATACATTTGTATATGACCGATGGAAAGGCACATAGAATATAACAATAGTTTTGCTTTTTGGAAGGTAGGATTATGGGGGAATTTTTTCTTTGCTTTTGATTACATTATTGCTGCTATAATATTCTTTGTACAGTAATTTTTTTTTGCTTTTATTGAGATATAATTGACATATGCCATTGTGTAAATTTCAAGTGCACAGCATAATGATTTGACGTAACCTGTGTTGAAAAACGATTACCACAGTAATATTTTTAAGTCTTGCTGAAACATTTGTCAAAATGAGTAGATTTTGTAAAGTTTAGTTTCCCTCTGCTTTATTTAAAGTGAGGCTTTTGTTACTGCCCTTTTAGATTTGAGAACAATCGGTTGAAAACGGGAAATTTCAGTTGTTAAATTTGTTGTTCAATAGCTACTATTTGAATATAACCTACATCACTATGAAATGTCTCTCCCAGAGTAAAATGAACTGCCCTTCAGAAGCACATTGAGAACAGAAACCCGGTCCAAAATGAGGCTCTGACCGGGAAAAGGGCTTCCTGGGATGCCCTCTGCCAGGCAGCAAACAGGACCGTGGGGGGTAGAGCTATTTTCGTGAAGTAAAGCTTTTATTTTGTGAAGAATCTCACGCAGAATTCTATAGATACGGTAAAGATCCCATCGCAGTGCATGTTGGATATCCAACAAATGTTAACTCTGTACTTCCACTTTATTTCTAGCTATTGTCCCAGCCGCTTAACCACCACCTCAAATACAGTGTCTTTGAGGATGTCTAGTTAACTTAAGCCCTGTACAGTGTTTGATATACTAATCAAGAAGCAGGCTAACTCAATAAGTTGGTACCACGCTTTCCTGGGCCTGGGTGTTAAACTGTTAGGAGAAGCGCATTGTCAGCTTTCTGCACAGGCATTGATTAGCCCTGAGATCATTTAAGGGCTGGCCAACAGGCAGGACTCCTTGCCCCAGAGTGTGATCTGTACCACCAGGCTTGGTGCCCCAGATATTTTGTTAGAAATTCCAATGTCAAAAAAAAAAAAAAAAAAAAAGGAGGGAAGGAAAGGAAGAAAGGAAGGTGGGAGGGAGGGAGAGAGGGAGGGAGGGAGGGAGAGAGGGAGGGAAGGAAGATAGGAAGGAAGGATATATTATATCCTATGTCTACAATATTATTCCATCTTTAGGCTGTAGGACACCTATTTTAAAACAGCCTTGAGTTCTATCGTCTCCACCTTTAAAGCGCATCTTGAAACTGTCCAGTTTCCACTGTTAACACCGTAGCCCAAGCACCCCTACCAGCTATGGAAACAGCCTCCTTAAGAGCCTCTCTTTTTCTCCGCTTTCCACAAGCCATTCATCACATAATCAAGGGATAATTCAAATAAGTCCTTTGCTTAGAGGCTTCTCACAGCTTCTTCTTGCACTTTGCCATTGGCTGAGAAGCCCCTTAGAAGATCCAGCCCCACCTATCTGATTTCATCTCCTACCTCTCCGCCCTCACTCACTCTGCTCCAGCTACACTCTCCTTTCTCCTACTCAGATGTTATGGCCAGCTCCATTTCTTTGGATACTCAGGCCTTCTCTCTGCCCCAAACACATCCCAGCCTTCTCTTCTCATACATTATTTTACTGCCCTTACAGTACTTACCACTATTTAACCAGTTTCTTTGCTTATTATGTCTTCCTTTAAGCAGGGGACTTAGTTGAGTATACCTTGACTTCTCTGTGGTGAATGGCTTATGGAAAGTGTACATGCTCTAGAATATGAGCCATATGAGAGTGGAAGCTTTGTATATCTTGTTCACTGCTCAATCTACAGGGTCCAGAAGAGTGCCTGGCACACAACAGGTGCTCAAAAAGTAATTGTGGAATGAGTATTGGTATCACCCAATTAGGTGGCTCTTTATTGGTTTTCAGATTGACCTTTATGACTTACTTGACACTCCTCCTTCTTAAAGAGCTTCTCTCCTTTGGTATGTTACTGTGTTAGACCACTTCCTGGCTCCTCCCCTCCTTCTAACCACTACTAATCCCTAAAATCTCTCCTCCTCAAGGTTCTTTATTTTCCATTCGTTTCTCACTCCATTCTCCTTCAGGGTCTCCTTCATTCTCATTGTTTCAACCATCACCTCTCAAGAGAGTCTCTGTTTTCATATCTGCTCCCATTGATCTCTATCTGCATTTATTGAGAGTTTCTAATTGAACATGCCCATTATTAAAATACCTTCTCATCCCCTGTAGTACATCCTCCAAAATGACAGACTTCCCCATCATTAACGATTCCATCATTATCCTAGTCACATTTGCTCTCTCTCCCTCCCTCTCATCCAGCCCCCATATCCAATTAACATTCCCCTTCCTTCCTTTACAGAATTTCCAATTCCATCTCACGCCTCTCTAAGCCTTTCGCCCTTACCTTAGAGATGAAGATTAAATAGGCTGATATTAAATCTGAAATTAAATGGGCTCATATTCTATTTCATGGAAAATCAGAACAGGATGAGAGCCAGACAACCATCTAGCTAAACCCCATCCCTTACGGACAAGGAGAAGGAGGGCCAGCCTGGCTAACTACCTTGGCTACCATGTCTTAGATGGTAAATACTGACCACAGTGCCAGAACCAGAGCTCGGTCTCCAGGATGGCACTCCTCCAATCTTTGGGAAATGGCCCGTCAGTGCCAGCCATGGAGAGAGGAAGAGCTCAGAGGGTCCTGAAATAAGAGCATCAAGAGAGCAGATGAGTAAAGGATACTGAAGACACACACTTTGTTGACTTCTGAATTTTGCTTCATGGTGCCCAGAAGAGGGCTGTATCCTGAATGAGTCTTTGAAGCCAATACTGAGCATTTGTCCTGTGCACATTAGTCGCTGGTCTGCCTCCTGGGGATGCCAGATGCTATCAAAGCACTTTGATTTCTACCCACACAGTACAAATAAACTTTTCATCAAATCGTAAGTTCAGGAACCATATGCCATTGTGACATTAAACAGTGAAGTCAAGCTCCTCTCTTCCTCGAAGGAAAATCTTATTCTAAAACCTAGATATAATTAAGGAGAAAAATAAACTTGGAATGTATCAATGAATAGTCTTCTCTAAAACCTATTTCAGAGACTTTTGGTCCATTTTAGGTAATGTAATCACCCAGAACCTCTCAAACTCGGTGCTTGGGAGGATGGAGGATGTTCTGCTGTCAACACTGCTTCCCTCTACAGTCAGTGGTACTCTTAAGAAGCCTGCTTAAATGGGCTCTGTGAGCAACCCAGAGAACTTCGCACTTCTAGCACTGCCAAGAAAGTAGTCTTGAGTGCACAGAAAACCAGGTGTTCTTTTCCTTGATTCTAAGACCTTGATTTTTCCAATTATAAGTGATTGAAGATCATTCCTGAGTAGCTTAGAGCTTCATAGGAAAGACATGAATTTTATTCAAGTTCATTGTGAGAATCTTTCTTGTGGAGCCATCTTTTTCCTTCTGATTACCTCAACTGAGATACAATATTCAGGAAGTTAAGGTCATACAGTTAAGTACCTATGTGGTCCTGCCTTCAGAGACCAAATCCACTGGACTGCTCCTAACATTCTCATACCAAATAAATTTAAAAAAATGAGCATCAAGGACAGCCTTGAAAGAGACAATAAATATGCAGTCAGAGAAAGATAGAGGTAATATTGAAGAGTGCTTCAGGAGGAGTGGGGGCCATCAAGGACAATCTCATGCCCTGTGTCTTGGTGATCACAGAGGTTTAGGAGCTTCTAGTTTATCGGTGAGGCTAAGGTCTTCTCTTAACACCAGCCAAAGGCTGCCTCCTGGAGTCATTTACCAATTGCTGTTTCAGAAGGGAAGTGAGGACTTCAGCAGCAGCAGGAATGTGGATTTAAGACCAGGGTTAGGAACACAACCATAGGCTGTACCAGAAACAGATGGGGCAAGAGCCCTGGGCTTTTTAAAAGCACACTGACACCTTCTACTTACCAGCTTTCTTCCCTGTAATAACTAAGGCAACCAGCATATACTGCCAGTCACCTCCAGAGCCTTTTGGAAGTCAAGAAACCTTGAGATCCTTGGCATATGTAGAAATGAATAAATGTTTAAATAGGTTTGAAATTTTTGATACATTTTAAATATTTACATTTAACAAACTGCTGCCTTTAATGTACATAGACATGCATACATGCTTGCAGACACACAAACCACCACAAAAAAAAGGTAATTTCAGAACTTAGGAAACTATTACATCTGAGTGCACTGGGGGTGGTGTAGTTCAGATAACGGGACACAAGATTAACGTGGTCTAATAGGTCCTGCTTTCTTTCTGTCTTCTCAGTGTAAATCTGGACATAATATTCATGTCCACACTTGAGACCCCTCATGAATGGGAAGCCCAGGTGAGATAGCCCGTTGGTCCCCCTTCTCCCATGGTGGGTACTGTCCTACTCTCCCAAATGTTCCTAATTACAAATCTTTCCTTAACCATAAGCCAATCACACCACCTGCTCCAACTTACCGTGATATCATAAAAGAAGCAAAAAGGCAATTTGCAAAGAATCAAAAGGAATTTAGGATGTAAGTTGATGCCAAGTTAAATGTAAAATCATAAACTCTGTGAGCTGGAAGTGACCCTAGAAATCGTCTGCATCAAGCTCCTTATTTTACTGGTGAGGGGAATCACTTCTGAGTGTCTTAATAGACTTGGAGATTCTTTTCTGGTAAGTGTCAAAAATGTACTTTCGAGCTGTGGAGCCATGGCAAGTGTCCAGGGGTTGAAGGAAGGAAGGAAGCTTTGCTGTGCTGTGGTTGGAGGGAGGCACCCCAGCATGGAGAGACCAGGAGAGAGCTCCAGGGAACAGAGACTGGAGTACTGTTTGTTTACAAAGAGGAGCCCTGAGAGAACAGAAAGGTTGTCTTCAGGATGAGTTCCCTGGAGTAGGGGCATCAGTTGGGGCGGTATTGAGGAAAGCACCATCAAATACAGCAGAGAGAAAGAAACAGAAGAGCAGCCGGGTAGGTCTTATTCAGTGGGCAGGACAAAAGTTTGAGCCTCTGCTTTCCAAGGGTCCCCATTTCCCTCCCCCCTCCCCCAGGTCCCCAACCCCTTCCACACATGCACACGTACACACACAGCCCTTAGATTTCCTGTGCTCAGTGGGAAGAAGGGGCATGATACTTTGTAAGAGGGCCCCCGCTGAAGCAGCAAGGTGGCCCAGACCATACTCAGGTGTCATGAGTTACGCGTTTGGTATGTATATATAGGAGGGGATGGGCTGGGGGCGTCCTCACACCAAGCAGTGCATAGGGAGGGGGTGCCAAGGACCCGGTCTCTGAAGGGCTTTTACTCACTTGCAGAAGTCAGCAAGTTGCTCATTTAGTCTTTCACAATTAGAAATGCCTGCTTTATTTTGAAATTTAACTTGAAATTTTGATTTTATAGAGAGAAGCACAGAATTGATGAAGAAATAAAACTCCTAAGACAGCGGCAGGAAAGAATCGACAAGGAGCTTGATAGGTTTGTTCCTTACTCAACTCATAAAAGTGTGTCCCTGCATCCCAGGAGCGAAGCATTCTCTTCAGTGAGATGGTTTAAACAGTATTTGCTGAACTGATTCCACTAGCCTGTCTCCGGTGCAGACTTTAAGGGGCGTCAGTGGGGAGGGAAGAGTAAAAGGGACTGGCAGGTGAAGGGAGATGGAAAAGGCTGAAGCGTGAGGGTGCTCAGTAGACTGGAAGCTCATGGAAGCAGGAATCCAAGGATCTATTAGGATTTTTGTCACCAAGTTCTCATTTAAGAAATACTCATGAAGGGGTTAAATAGCTGAATTCAGGAGGAAGCAGAAACCTTTCCACACATCTGTGGATGAGAAGAGAGGCAGAGCTAGGCTAGGCCAGGATGGGTAAAAACTTGGGACAAGGGGGGCGCCTGGGTGGCTTAGTTGGTTGAGCGTCCGACTTTCGCTTGGGTCGTGATCTCGCGGTTCGTGGGTTCGAGCCCCGCGTCGGGCTCTGTGCTGACTGCCAGCTCAGAGCCTGGAGCCTGTTTCAGTCTGTGACTCCCTCTCTCGCTGACCCTCCCCTGCTCACGCTGTCTCTCTCTCTCTACTAGAAATAAATTTAAAAAAAACATTAAAAAAAAATTTAAAAAAAAAAAAACTTGGGACAAGGGAGAGACATTAGCAAGAGAAACACAGCCAACAGAAAGAAAAATGAAAAGGGATATATGGCTATTCATGTCACAGCAATTTTCAAGGGGGACATTTTAAATGATTCTTTCCTCCATGGAATCTTAGGAAGTAAATATTTCTGAATATTCCAATATGCTTTGCTAAAGCATATAAAGTTTGGATTAGCCCACCCCATCAAGGCTGCCTCTAGGTTTCTTTAGCACTTAGTGTAGCTCTGAGGGTCTCCTGCCTTAGAGTCCTGAGACCAGCAAATGCCGCCTCATGCATTCTCTGCTTGATTTCTGTCCATTTTATTGCCTCACCTGGCTTTTCTCTTCATTATTATTACCCTCTGGGTCTGTTCTCTCCTGCTTTCCTCAAATCTGGCTCTCACAGTTTGGATCTCTTTCTCATCGTCCTATTTAAACACACTTCAAAATATCCCTGCTTCCCTTTCTCAGTAACACCTTTAGAATCTCCTTGAGGTGGGAGTCATAATCAGACTGTGGTTCATTTCTGGTTAAAATCAAGCCATTTTCCAGCTCGCCCTTTTAATTGACAGTGCCCTGTACCTTTTTAAAAAAAATAACACTTTTATTGACATATGTATCATACCATAAAATTCACCATTTTAAAGTGTACAATTCAGGGGTTTTCTTTATGAGGAAAAAGGCTCAGACAGGTTAAGTAATCTGCCCTCAGTCCTTCAGCTAACGAGTCATGCTTTGAACGCACTCAATGTGACCTGAGCCTTCCATTCAACTGAGTGGGTTCAAAGCATGACTCGTTAGCTGGAGGACTGAGGGCAGATTACTTAACCTGTCTGAGCCTTTTTCCTCATTTACAATACTGGGTTATAGTAGTGCCTACTTCATAAAACTATAATTGAATGAATATGTGTAAAGTGCCAGCAAATGCCCAGCATATTAAATTTTGTGTGAATGTTGCTCTTAGTTGGTGTCAGTATAAAACAATTAGTTTGGCTACCGATTTTTTAAAAATTGTTTTATTAGACTCCAGGTGAAGGCTACCAAGAAACCCTACGAAGCTAAGAATGACTTTGACAAGTTCCTACATAAACTGGTATGTTTCCTTTTTGAAAATGGCTGAATATTCTCTCTCTAGCTTGTCTTGATTGGACTGGACAGTATTTAATAAGCACTATATGGTTTCACATCCAAGTTACAGTGAGTGGCAAGGTAAAATATGCTACAAAAATGTAATCATCCGCATGCCCATTTAAGATCATCTCTGCTTTACATATTAGTGACTACCTCATACCCACTAATCCTCATCCCTTGCTTCTGACCACGGGCAGTTCAGGCAACTGAAAACCTCCAAATGCAATCAAAAGTTCAAACTACTAGAAAAGTATCAGTGTTTGAAGTCCTATTTTATTTTCCAGTAATAATTCAACAAAAATATATTGGATTCCAATGAATGTGTTAGATGAGTGGTCCTGCCATCAACATAAGACAGAAATTAATAAGGTTCTTTCCAGTGTGAGAAAGAAAATAAAGGAGACTGTTCTGTCTTTCCAGGTTTCTTTGCCCCCCCCCTTAAATTATGGATAGTTCTGTTAAATCTGAAGGTTCCTCTTCCTTTCAGCAGGCAAGGACATGTAGAGAAAGGGATGCAATAAATCTGATGGTTGAGCCAGCTGAGGTCAGGAATAGGAGAGAGAGCTTTTTATTTTTAGCATGTCTTCGAGAACAATCCTCATTGGCCACTAGCATAACATCAAAACCAGCAGATCATCTAATCAAATTCCTGTATGAGCCAGAAAGGTGACAGAAGGGAGTAGAACACCTGCATATTTAATATTAAACAAATAGGACTATTCTTTACTTCCACAAAAAAAAAAAAAAAAAAATCTTTCTCCCATTTTTCTTGGTCTCCCCTAACCACTATGGCTAGAGACATGGGTACAGAGAATTATTTGGTGTGAGAAAGCCACTGTGCCAGTGTGCTAGGGATGGGCAGGTGACTGCAGGTGACCTCAGCTGGAAGTGGTACATGGCTGAGTATCAGGGGAACTGCAAGTTGTGGAAACTGCAGCACACAGAAGAGTCCAACATCATCTAAACAAAGCAGCTATACCTCAGCTCAAGTTCACTGTCCGCCCTCTACCCCCAGGAATGGGAGATGGGATAATCGTATCTTCCATCATCTATAATCCAGATTCCCCTATAAAATTTCTGCTGGGAACCCCAAGTGTTTAAATACTTGGGGGCCAAAATAAATGTATCTGCAGACCAGATGTGGCCTATGGGCTACTGGTTGGCAACCTCTTGTCTAAATGCTGGACTTAGAGCTCTTCAAGGGCTACCTCCAGCCAGTGTAGCCTGTCTTATTCTCCACTGTATCCCAGGGCAAACAAACTGAGGCTTCCAAACACACCAAGTTTATTCACGCACGCTCATACATTCACTCATCTGCAGTGCCTACTCCCCAGCTTTCAAATTCGACTCATTCTTTCGGGCCCTGCCCAAATCCCATCTTCTTCATGAAGCTTTTTTCCAGTTACCTTAGCCCTCTCCTCTCCAGAAAAGTTTGAAATCTTCATAATTTCTAAAATGACTCTCAGTGATGGTTTGATTGAAAACTAGTTCATTTCTTCAAGTCAGACATCAAGATAAGAATGGATGGAGTAGATCCCCGGCTTAGAACAACTGTGTCCTCCAAAGCAGAGGGCACAATGGAAGTTTTTAGTTATCTATTGCAAGAAGGAATCTCATGGTGAAAAATTTAAATAGAATAGCAAAGGAATGGAAAGTACTGATTTTTTTTTTTACAGTAATCCAGTTATCGCTAAGTAATTATGTACCAACCACAGATCTTCTGTGGAAAATGGAAAGGTATTAAAAAACAAAGAATCTTAATTTAAAATCAATTCAGATTTTGGAGTATTGGGTGTGAAAAAACTCAAAATTCATTCAACAAATTTGACTTAAGCTTTCTCAAATGTTTATCTTTCTTTAAAAAATGAAAATGCACCTGAAGTTTATTTTAGAATAGAATAATGGATTTCCAAGTCCTTTAAATATGATGGTAGTCCTTTGAGAAATATTAAAACCAGCTTTGCCTCAGCCTCTCAAAAACTGAGATTCAAGATGATGATGTCAAGTCATTAAGTTGCACATTAATGAGCAAAACAATCATGGAATAATACAAAATTGTGATAACTTTCTGGATATTTCATGCCATTAGCCAGCTGCTGGTCAATTATCTGATTACAGCAGCAAAATAATTTTTGGATTAAATCTTCATATAATTCAGGAAGGCCTCCTTGTGAGAAAGCCATTCACTTACCGTCACCACATGGCTAAACATTTTTGCCCACTTTTAGGGGCACTTGGGTGGCTCAGTCAGTTAAGCATCTGACTTCAGCTCAGGTCATGATCTCGCAGTTCATGAGTTTGGGCCCTTTGTCAGGCTCTGTGCAGACAGCTCAGAGCCTGGAATCTGCTTTGAATTCTGTGTCTCCTTCTCTTTCTCTGCCTCTTCCCTGTTCATGCTCTGTCTCTTTCTCCCTGCCTCTTTCTCTCTCTCTCAAAAATAAAGGTAAAAAAAAATTAAACATTTCTGCCCACTTCTGATGAACACACAAGGACTCAACAACACCCCCACCCAACCCCAGAACCCACTCTTACCCACATACTTGCTCACCTGCCCTACACTGGTCCACACATACAAAGGAGACCTGCTAGACACACGGCAAAGGGTTGCGAGGCAGAGGTGGGGTTTCCCTGAACAGTATGCATGCCCTGTGGACCAGAGGGCTGCACTTGAGAAAAGGCAGCATAGAGTGGAAAGAAAGTAAATTTTATGAACAAGTTGAATTAATCTGAATTATCATCCAGATAACTATTTTAGTGTGAATACAGGTAAGACAAAATGTCTTTTATCTAAGTTTCTCTCAGAGACAGCTGAGGCCCGAAAGAATTGCAAGTTTTGAAAGTGATTGCTTATGTGATATCACATAGCTTCTAAAAAGTAAATGAGCCTGAATCCATCTTTGCAAAAAAAAAAAAGCAATTCTTCTCATCTTTATAATTGGAATAACCTCACATTCAAGTATCCAGGCAAATTTGTGAGTCCTTGATGTATTATTTTAATAGCGTTCTGAAGCTCGAACCGAGAGAGAGTTTCTGGCATCGCTCTCATCCTCATCATCATCAGCAGAAGACTACAACTGGGAAGAAGAAAAGTGTCAAGAGAAACCAGAGATGGACTGTATTTAAGACTATGTCATACAATTCAGTGGTATCCATTTAATTGTAGCAGTATGTTTAACTCAAATCTAATCTATGAGGTCAGTATTGAATGTCTTTTACAAATTCATCTTTAAAAATCTTAAAATCAATAAATGTCAGTAAATCACCCTTAAAAGATCTGCCCAAGCATAATTTTGGCTCCTATTGGTAGAAAACATAGTTTAAGATGGAAAAATAATCATTATGAAGCATAGAGAGCTTTCAACCGTTTCTTTGGAAATACATCTTGATAATAGCAACCGTTCGTCATAATACAAAACAGAGAGAGGATTAATTTACTGTGGCATAAGAAGTTCTGCCAGTTCCCAAATGCCCTAAATAGTTTCTCTAAGATTTTTTACATTGTTTAGGCCTCAAGGAAAACCAAAGCCCCACCCCCAGGTTTGGTAGCAAACAAACTCTGCTTCTCGGATGTTAAGTTTCGGTCACTCCTCTGGTAATAAGCTTCGTGCACATTTGCTAGGAAGCTGGACAGCTTGTCCGCAGGTACAATTGATACTGTGCAGCCTCCCCATCCTGCTCCAGTGAGTCGTGACCCTTGAGCCCCAAACTTCCTAAAATAATGAGAAAAAAAAATTAGAACCTGTAAAAGACAGTGAGAGTGGTTTGCCTGGCGCTTCTAGAACACACAGCCTACAATGAGAATGTATGTGGATTCTTTTTGGGGGGGGAGTGGGGGTAGTTAAGTGTTGCCAAACATTTTAGGACATGAAGGAATGTATACTGTTTCAGAAGGTGATTTGAAATTTAATTCTATCTAAAACTAGCCCATGGTTTTCTCTCTAGGTAGTAAAAGTTAGCATTATTCCTGTTTGGTGAGAGCTGGCAATAACCCACCATAAAGTCTTGATTCATAAACTCACCAATTGAAGAGTTGTATGTGGCAAGCTTACAGGTGATCAAGACGAGGGAGTAAAAGGAAAATAGACAGCAGACATGATCAACATCATGAATCAGAGGTCAAATCAAAATATAAATTGCAAGTCTTATACAAGTGAGGGCTTCCTCTGGTAGTCATTTAAGGTGTGTTCTTAAGGGTTGGCTGTTCCCCATAAAAGAATCCGTCCCCTAGAACACACAGCCTGGGTTTGCACTGAATAAATTTATAAAGAAGGAACATGCTATTAAACTCTAGATCAGTCTGTCTGGTTAATCTCTATTGGGAAGCTGTGCAGACGTTTCTGCAAAAATGGAAGGTGGCCTCTATAAGTCTGTGTGTGTCTTCCTTGTACCTTTGGGAGCTGGTCTGGCAGCTAAACTCAGAATTTACCATCAGCCAAAATGTGTGATCTGGATGGAAACCACTATTTAAACTACCACACAAAAAGAGGTCATTTTAGTCACCATCACCCAGGTGCAGTTTCTAACCAAAGATTTATACCCACGTGAAAGGCCCTACACAAAGCACAAGGATCCCTCATCCTTAAAAGATGTAATTTATCCTGATAATAAAGGTTAACATGTACTTCCAATTCTTCCTAATAAAATTTATTCCAAATTCATAGCAGATTAAAAACTCCATAATTGATTTAGCATAATTTTGTCTCTTTTTTCCCAATCTAAATGAGCTAGTTTACTTCCTGGAAAATATCAATAGAATATTAACCCTCCTCTAGGACATCAGATTTATTGCACACCAGTAATTCATTTCCCCCTCAATGATTTTCTCAATTGGTTCCTTTTCATCATCTGTTTTATTCATTAAAATATATATTTCAAATGAAAATAGATGTTTAAAGAAGAAAACAAAATGCTTGCAAATAAAGAGTACTCATCTCCCGCCGTCCCTCACAGCTTAGAAACCCAGCAGCTGCACGGAGCCCAAATGCCTATCATCTAGGCCCAAAGTTTCTCTGACTATGGGATTTGTAGGATAATTCTGAGTTCCCAAGCTGGCAAAGGGTCATTTTGCAATCACAAAGGAAAAAAAAAGTTGTGATATGGAGTCACATCAAACTCTCTACCCCTGGAAGATGCTGAAAAAACCAAGGTGTTACTGAAGCATTTCTGGGACACAGAAGCCAACCGTGGCCTGGTCTAGAGACCAACAGGGCGCTTCTTACATAATTCTCTAACATCCAGACTATGCCAATGTACTGGACTTAAATCAACCAGGTCTTTTATGGTCTTCAGTGGACTTCCAGACCTGTTTTCTTACATCTTTCCATCTGAAAAGTTTTGACAGTTGTTTCAAAGCTGAACCTAAAGCAAACTGAGTGTTGTTTCTATGGTTACAAAACCAACAGGAATTGTGCCAAAGGGTATATTTTCCTCAATTTCCTGCCACTTTCCAGAAAACAGAAACTAGAAGTCTTTCTAGGTAAATATATTTACTCTTAAGTCCCCAGAGCTGCTCTGTCACCACCCTGCCTGCCACAGATGAAAATGGACTGGGTTGCATCAGCCACATGATCTGAAGTCATCAGGGCTCAAATTTCCCAGAGAATGATAAATGCTATTATAAGTAGCCTTCTGCCCCTGAGTCAATGGCAATTGTGATCACAAATCAGGGGGCTGCCCAAATAGCTGGTCAGCAGCCTGCCTGTCTATATGTACTCAGAGGCAGAGAGGTCCCGTCTGCAATGTTCTAAACTGGTGCTTAATGTGCCCTTTGGCATATGCCATAGAAATTCAGGGAAAAATCTAAAAGTTAGGAGAACAATATAAGCTTTATGTTAGGAAAGAAAAAGCAGGCGAGCCTTGTTTTTCCTAAGAGAACACTGAGACATTAAAAGTATAGATCCTGAGCTATTGCACATCAGAGAGGCAATACAAAACCCTAGAATCCCCCAAATACCATTTCTTTGAGGTGACCAGATTGGGGAATAACGTGGAAGGGTTGGTCAAAACAACCAAAGCAGCCTTTGCCTTTATTAGTATGATCTACGAAACAAAGGCTAGAGGAGTGATGCAGATTATAAAGAATGCTCCCTTTGATCCTTTTATCACTGAAAAGTATATTCATATAACTAACTTTCCAGGCACCCAATATAGCCTGGCTAAAATGTCCTACTTTAAATGAGCTGATTGGACCATAAAGCACTTACTAAGATACAAGGCACAGAAAAATGCAGGGGGTGGGGAGGGGGGGGAACCAGTAAACACAACCTTGCTACAAACCAAAGAAGGAAAGAAGGAAGGGATTGTGTCTTGTATTTCAATTTTATTTCAAAATATTTATATATTATATAAATGGGTATTAAATTAATTATTTCAGAATATTTTGAATTTAGGGAGAGGTTATTTCTCTCCAGTCCTAGCCCAGCACAATTCTAGACATTTGGTAGGTTCTAATAAAGGGCTGTTGGACTATTATATTTGTTTTAAAATATCAAAATATATACCCAGTCTATTTTCTTATTAAATCAAATGTTAGAAAACTTCAGTTATGTGAAACAGAGTACAATAATGAAGAGATAATGTCCACCCAATTATAAAATATCTCTTTTGAATGAACAAATTGTATTTTTTAAGAAATGGCTAAATTTTATTTATTTTTATTTTTAAAGTTTGTTTATTTTTGAGAGAGAGAATATAAGCAGAGGATGGGCAGAGAGAGAGGGAGATGTAGAATCTGAAGCAGGCGTCAGGCTACAAGCTGTCAGCAAAGCCCAATGTGGGGCTCAAACTCACTAATCATGAGATTATGACCTGAGCGAAAGTTGGATGCTTAGCTGACCGAGCTACCCAGGTGCCCCTAGAAATGGCAAATTTTAGAAAAGAATTTCTCGAAGCATGAAAAACAAATTTTAATTATGTGAGACAGCTTACATATATATATGCATATATATGTATGTATTATATGTCAATATAAGCTGTCAGTAATATATTCTATATCTGGAAAGCCTTCTAGCTTCTGCTCCAAAGCCTAGAATCTTCTGGCTAGAATCTGAGGAAAACAGACCTTCCAGAAGAATTTCTATGACTTTTACAGCCAAGTTAGAAACACTCAGATTGCTTTAGATACAAGAAACCACAGACTTCAAATACTGTTCAAATGAGAAAGTATAAGAAAATATAACACATCTGTTTGAGAAATGTAAGCCACTAAACGCCATGAAAGAGGAGTTGGTTTTTGCAAATGGCATATATATATATATAATATTATATATTTATGTATATGGAATGTAACATTTATATAAATGGCATATATACATATATATATATATATATATATATATATATATAAATGGCTGAACAGGGGTATGGGGTGGAGAGAACAGTAAGTGGAAGACAGAGGCCCAAAAAGAAGTGAGCCCGTAAGCGTGGTTGAAAGGACATTCTCCCTTTATTTGGTAGAGTGTAAAGATCAGTCTCAAGATCATAGAGAAAGAAACATACAAATACGGGTTTACATTTCATTCTTCCCTGACCTGCTCAGGAGAATGGGTGCAAGAGGCTGAACAGCATAGCCATGGAGTAAAGTTTGAAAAGATTTTTGAGGAAGACAGCAAATTAACTTTTGTGATCTTTGTTAGCGTTAACATTTGTCATTCATTTCCCTTAATAGCTTGGGCAATGATGCAGCAATGAGGTCTCTAATTTCAGCAAGTGTCAAAACAGAAATAAAAGACATTAACTATTTTTTCTTAAGTATAACCAGGAAAATTGATAACAAATGAGCTGTCTCACATATAACTGACTTGGTTTGAAAATTGCTTTGTGTTTCTCAATGAATCCTACTTAAAAATTTAGCCATTTCTTAATTTACATTTTGTTCATTTAGAAGAATTATTTTATAATTGGGCAAATTTCATCTTTTTCTTTCACTATAATACTTTGTTTCACATAATTGAGGTTTTCTAACATTAGCTTAATAAAAATAATAAACAGCCTAAAAGCATAAATTGTAGTTTCCTTCTCTCTCCCTGGCCCTTTCTTTGGATGCTAAACTGATTTTCTCTTGAAGAGCAGTGAAAAGATCCATTGAAAAACATAGCAAGTGTTAGTGATTTCTTCCATCCTTTTTCCCACTCTTCTTTCTGCTTGGGTCATATAGTAGCTTCTTACACACTGTCCTATAGACTAGCTACCTAGAGATGCCTTTGTTTCTGTTTTTGGGGGGTTTTTTGTTGTTGTTGTTGTTTTTTTACAGATAGTTTATTGTCAAGTTGGTTTCCATATAACACCCAGTGCTCATCACCACAAGTGCCCTCCTCCACGCTCATCTCCCCTGCCCCGACACGCATGAGTCCTCAGTTTGTTCTCAGCATTCAAGAGTCTCTCATGGTTTGCCTCTCTCCCTCTCCCCCACCATTTCTCCCCTTCTTCTCCCCCATGGTCCTCCATTAAGTTCCTCCCAATCCTCCTATACGTGCAAACATATGATATTTGTCCTTTTCTGCCTGACTTATTTCACTCAGCATAACACCCTCAAGGTCCATCCATGTTGCTACACAAGGCCAGATTTTATTCTTTCTCATTGCCATGGAATATTCCATCGTATAGATGAACCACATCTTCTTGATCCATTCGTCTATTAATGGACACTTAGTCTCTTTCCATGTTTTAGCTATTGTTGAGAGTGCTGCTATGAACACTGGGGTACATGTGC